AATGATTGTACTTTTATTAAGTATTATGTTTGCAGTCTTTCCACCTCTTAACTACCTCAAGTCCTGAACAGTAGTGATGTGGTGCTGTGACAAGTCAATCATCTGGAAGGAGGATTAGATTTCAGTGGGGTCCAGTCGGATAAATGTGTCTTTGTTTCTGTTAAAATATAAGAAGCATTTTGTCTCCTCAAAAACTGCTTCCCTCCCTCCACATAGCACAAAGCAGGCTTGTATTGGAGCCAGGCTTTTGCTCAGTTTTTCTGCACACCTTTAGAGATCCTATCCCAAAGTCTCTGTCAGGACAAACTGAGTAAAAATCCTATTGCCTTCGATTTAAGCCTGGTTTGACCTGAATGTCTGAGATTTTCCACAGGGATTTTCCCTCCATAGTCCCATATATGTGAGGTCAATGAATATCCCTAGGGATAGTTTTCCTAAACATACCAGAACTCCATTACCCCATTTCACACATAAGTGGGTGGTGAATAGGGCTAATCAGGCAGCCTGAGGCAGATATTCCCTTATCTCTGCTGAAATAATAAGCAATCATCAATGGTCAATGATGATGCAGCTCAAAGGGTTCTAAAGCGGGCCGACTTCAAAGACCGAGTCCTTTGATGTGGTCTGTAACAGCAATGCAAACCGTGCAGCACTTCTCCTACATGAGCCTGCTGCACAAATCCACAGGGAAAGCCAAATTCTGAAGTTAACAGAGATACGAATGTGATGGTGACACTTCAAAGGAATGATTCAAATTAAGTTGTCATCTATATTTTAGATATCTCACCATTTTTTTTATTTTATTATTTCTTTTTACATAAGAGATATCTGAATCCGAGAAATACGGGTTAGGCATTTAAATTTAGTTTCTGCAGTATGAAAAAGGCTGCACGTTGCACTCTGGAAGGCTGAGAGCTGCAAAATAAAAATCCACTGTTTTCCATATTCATCTCCTTTCTTCCAGTGCACCTGAAGTATGTTTCCATAAACCTGTCCTTACTAAGCGCTTCAACATTTGATTGAGTGTTTCATATTGGTATAGAGGTGTGTTTTTATCCCACTATAATGCAAAATTTCTCAATCTATCCAAGTCTTACTACCTATATCTAGCCAAAAACTATATTTTTTAAAACATTTTTGAGATACTACACTAAAGAACAGCAGATTATGTTAGATTATTAATCTTCTTTTGAGAAGATTCTACTCAAAATCAGTAAAATAACCTGCCACTAGAATATGACAATTTCACTTGTCTCATGTTTTGAAAAACAAATCATGATTTCAAGAAGTCTTACCAAGTCCAATTATCACTGCCAGATTAGTGCACTTATTTTAATTAAAATCTTCTCAAATTAAGATTAATAATCTAACTAAATCTGCTCCTGTTTACACCAATAAAACGTTTTGTAATCTCAAAATGAGATCAGAAAGACTTTGTAGCTAGATCTAAGAAAGTAATTGATATTTTTTTTTTTACAATGGTATGACATCCAATTGCAAATCTATCCAGAAAAAACGTATCTAAAAATTCATAAAATAGGTTTACTCCCCATTTGATCGAGTCAGTAAGATTTTTTTTTTCTGATTTTAAATGCAAAAAGCTTATACCATTAGCTAATACTTAGTTACCTCCTCAAATTGCAAATACGTTTATCTAAAGAACATTATATTTATTTTATATTTTGCACTGTATTTTAAGGTTAATTTCAGCTCAGTTCACTGTTTCTACACACAGTGAAAAAAACTAAATATAAGTCAGGTTTGAGCAGGTTGCTGATTAAATTATAAAAACATTTATAGTTACATTTAGAAAAGAAAAATAGCTCCATTATCTTATCTTAAATCTATAACATCTAGTTTGTTTACTTTAGCTGCAAACTTACTCGTTCCAATGAGGGATAACCTTATTAATGCCCAAATTAAAGGCAAATAAATCTATTTTAAGAGGTTTTTACTAGTTTTTTGCAGCGAAAGCACCATTTCACACCAAAAAGGTTTTGTATGACACTATAAAAAGTAAAGGACTAAATTAAATGTTTATTTCATCATGAGGAATTCATGGGCTACATTCAAGTATACCGCGCTAGTTTATGATACTGTTGTCATTGAGTATCTTTCTAATTTCAAGTATCTTTCTTTAACTATAATTAAAAAAGAAATTAAGACATATTGTAGAGTCAGCAAAACCAGGGTCTTTTCTATGACTGATTAAAATGCTGAAGATGATCAAAAGTCTATATGAGTTTGTAAACTTAAAAGACTCGCTGCTGAGCAGCAAGCATGCCAGACAATCACCAGCTAACTACAACAGCCAGAAAGTGGTAGGACCAGAGGGGAGCAAAGACCCACAGAGACAATACCTGACTGAGGGGTCAAAGACCCGTCGGCTATTCCCCTCCCCTCTAGTCCGAAACAGCAAATGCTCTGGGACAACAGGAGTGAGAGGATCCTGCCATGCCATCTGTCTTTCACTCTATAATATTGTTTCTGTCTTGTTTTTGTTTTTTAGTCCTCCAAGTTCTACTTCCATATTGTCCAGGGACAGTATATCTCTGCATAACCCCATATCCATTTCAGTTTTGGGAAATTAGTGAGGCCTTTTTAGGTCTGAAAAGGTCTGTTACTTATCAGCATGGAGCAGTATTTACTGATAAACAGAGTCTATACTCATCTGACCTCCCACCCACTCTTCCCACAGTGGGGCTGTTTATGCTGTTAATTTGTAAAGAAAAAGCTCTGGCCTTACACATGAATTTAGGTTTCTTTAAAGCACAGTTGATAACCTCCACATTCCAATTATACAGAAAACTTTGCTTTTTGTATATTTTGTCTGGAAGGCTGTATTTACAATTTAAAAATATTGTCAATTTAATGACAGACTTTAAGTTAGTGTAACTAGAGAGGATGCTAAGAATAGCAAAAATAATAAATTGAAATTCATTGAACTCAGAGTAGAGACTTTAACTGTCTGCATTTAACCCATCCCCTTCAGGAAGCAGCGGGGAAGCCCCCAGTGAGCAATCAAGGTTTAAAAGTCTTAAAGACTTGAAGTACCAGATTGGCAGTCTGTGGGAGTGAGTTTCGAAGTCCCAATCTCAGGACTCCCAGCCATATGCACTAACCACTAGGCCAACATACCACCATGTTGTTCTGTGTTGTCTTTTCTGGACTGTACTGTGAAAGTTGAGGACACTACCAGTCTTAATACAGAGGTTTACCAAAACATACAGACCAATACCTACATTTTAACTCATATCACCAACTTCAACATAGATTTTCTGTTATCAGAACAGGATGGCCATATTCGCTCAGTTGCAGAGGAAAACATAGAAAGTATTTATAGATCATTTTTTACTAATTCTTCTACATTCCTTTAGTGAGCCGATTCTCCAGTCGTGCGAACATTTTTTGGATCGGGAAGAGTTTCAGTCTCATTGTGCATCTTCTGTTGTTTAGTATATAGGGGGTAACAAGGGATGACTAGCCTCTTACGACCCCCATTTGAAGAATAATAAGGTCGGGAGAAAATCAAACATGTTTGAAATTCAGTCGGCCCTCTTAAGGTGTTTGTGGAAAGATCCTGCTGTTGAAGCAGAGTTACGAGCGTCTACGAGCCGACTTACCAGAACCTCATGCACTGGGCATGTGCAAACAAGGGAGATTTTCTTCTCAGCACCATTGGTGCTGAGTCTGATTTGTGGTTTTTGGAAGTGCAGTTTGAGCAATTAGATTGCACCAGAGCATTGGGCCTTGCAGTGTAAGAAAATACATTGTGAGCTGTGAACTTTTCAACCCTGCGATTTCGTACAGCTTGAGCTGTAGCTGAGTACAACTGAAAATATCGCACAGTGTATGCCCTGTGTCATTGGAGCTTACGAAGTACCACAACAACAAAACCCAGCCAACAATCCCACATTTTAACACTAGTAACTCTGGGCAAGATTTTGTTGTATAATTGCACCTCACGAAAGAAGGACCAACCTTTGACGACCAAGATGTTGAGATTCTGGACCAAGAGGACAGAGATTTTGAAAGGGTTGAAAGAAGCCATCTTTGTTTAAAGGAAGACCCATCACTGATCGGAGGGGAAGATTGCGTTTTCACCTCGCAAGCATCTACATTTCAATCTTCTAACTAATTTCAAGGAAATTACACAAGCAACACAATCATTATACACATAGCCCATACACAAAAAAGACTTCAAAAAAGAAATCAACCATTGTTCATTATTATTTTTCATTTTACTCATTGTCAGGTTAGGTGGAGCAGACAGCGATACTATGGGAAATGTATTATCCAGTATTATTTTGGGCTTAATATATCCTTTTTTTTTTACATACACGTACTTCTAAATGCTTTCTTTCATGAGATTGAGGCCTACTAGGTTCATACTAAATCTACATTAGTGCAAATAGTGAAGGCTCGGTAGAGAGCAATGTTTAGGGGAGGGATACCAAGTTTTTCGCAGGGAGAGGAAAACTACCAGACAATTTCACATAATGGCAATTGACAACTGAACAAATCTACAAATTATTTATGCAAGCTAAATTAGAAAATTGGAATGATATGATATTATTGGAGGGTTATTTTTCCTACATCAGAATTTTAACCCCCAACCAACCTTCAAATTATGCCCCTGGTTCATTCTGTCTTTGGCATTCAGTATAATGTTTCACCTTCCATCTAAAAAAGAATAACTTTCCCAGCCTAAAGCTTCAGGATAAAGACTTTATCTTCAACACTCTGCAGCCAGGCTGGAGCATATCTTCTGCACAAAGCAACAACCGTCAAATAGAGTGGTCCTGGAGGTGAGCTACAAACATGTTTACAACTCCCAGTAGTGGTAGAGATATCCCTCAGCATGCACACAATCTGCTGAGTCACTGAACTATTCGTTTTCGTACCCCTACACTGCGGCCAGCTGTATCTCCCTACGTTAGCCTCTCCTAAAAATATCCCCCCTTCCCTCCCTCTCATTCTCTGCCTCTGACATACAGAGGACGCCTTGTCTTTAGGGAGCATGACAGCAAAAAAGGGAGTTGCCAAAGTATAATATTAAAAAGAGGGAGTCTTCCAGAAAACATTCTATTGTTTTTACAACAGAGAACAGATCAGTTTTATGCAAAGGAAACATCTGATTCAGTTGCTTCAGTTCAAAAGGAATTTGCTGTTGTGGACTGATTCAAGTGTACAGTAAGTACCTTTAGATGTATAGTTGCTTGTGACAAAAATATCTTAGAAATCATGCTGTTTCTTTCCTCGGATAAAAGTTGCTTTCTTCTGTTGGATGTCATGCTCAAAGTTTTTGGAGATACTGTAGCTGTGTTAGGAAAGTGTTAAGAGTTTGGGCTGCAGAAAATCAACAGTAAAAAAACACTTGATGACTTTTGTACTCCTGACTGAACCTCTGCTGTATTTGGAGGGATATTCACTTGAGCACCAAGTTGAAAGGAAACAAGAGAAAGGAAGGAAACAGAGGAGGAACCTGTTGGACTAAAAGAAAAAACTTTGAATCTAAGAAACTAACCCTGCGTAAAGGCAGCAGACAAACTGTATGAATGCTGTAGAACAGATGATTGTATAGGCAGTCTGAGTTTCTCATGTTAAGGCCGGACCATTGGTGTATCGCGTGACTCTCAAATCATGTCATGCCTTTGCGCTGCCAAACGCAGATGTTTGTAAGATGAGGTCGTGCTCTATGTACTGTGCTGGGTGAGATCGTTTGGACTTAGTTACGGTTTTGGATTCGCTCCTTAGAGTCATCCAGAGAGTTAAAGCCTCCAGAGGATGATGGGAGCTGATGACCGAGAGGTCAGCAGTGGAATGGGGGTAATAGTATAACATGCCTTTTACAAACAGCTCTCTTGTTGCTTAATATAGAATTTAGTGATGATTTTATTTAATCTACTCCAGGTTTAAAATCATACGTGTATTTTTCCAGCTGGAAGCTGCCTAGAAACTGCAACATTTTTCCTTTCAGATAGGATTTTTATCTATTTTTTTATCAGTCCACTTATTTATATGAGTTATTGACATTTTTATTCTGAATGGTTTCACTCTAACATGGCTTGTTCATGATAAGATGATGGCTTCTTCATCTCTGAGTGGCCCCTGTAAGTGCACTTTCTGCAAAGTTTAGTTTAGTCTCTTCCCAGATTCAGACAACATATCTACATGTTTATTTTTTTATTTGTTCTGGGATTGACAGGGACATTTTGCACTTCATCTCTGGGACACAGAACAACCTCTTCTTCCTCAGCAGTGAATTTTCTTATTGTTTTTAGATCTGCATGACAGTTTTAAATAGTGATTACTTTGCTAATTAATCAATCTGGTAATTATTTTTCAACCAATCGACTGCTTGATAGGATTTGTTTTACAGAATTTGAACAAAATGACTGTTATAGTCTCATGGTTTGGTGTATTTTTTTATTTACCTATTTATGTTTTCTTTATCGTATTTTTTTATTTTGAGATTTAGTATTACCTTTCTTTTCTTTTCTTTTTGACTTTTTTCCTTGTTGGATGTTTATGGAAGAATTTAGTTTTACCTTATTTCTGTCTGTTATGTTTGTTATTATTTTTGCTTTTTGGGACCTGCCATACTTGTTATTTTTTTCCATTGGGGGTTTGCAATTTAGTTTGATTTGTTTCCTTTTTGCCTACTTTTTCGCAATTGTTTTTTAGTTTATTTCTCTTGTTTATTTGCCAGAAGAAAGCTCAAAGTTCACCATGCTTCTTCCTTCTCCTAAACCTCAATTTAGGAGTTCTGGTTAGAATATATTTACATAAAAATATAGTTTTATATTTATTACATTTTTAATTAATTTCTAGATTTATACATAATTAGTACATTTTTGGCTCAATATCTGGACTGATTTTTGTTTGCTTTCAGTAAATTGCATGTTGTAGTTTACTGCAACAATTATTAACCAAATTGGTTGATTTTATTTTACTAATCAATGAATCGTGATTTATCCAAACAATTGTGTTAGCCCCATTTCTAAACATTTAGGAATGTACCTCCAATTAAAACACAAACTTAAATAATCCATGACATCAAATCAGTTTCTTTAAATCAACATTTTTGAAGGTAACTTCATCCCTTTTGATCTTGTATTCTGTCATTATTCTGGAATTTTAGCAAAAAAAATAAATATGGTTGTCTTAACTGTACTGAACTAGGAAAAGTTCTTTCTGACTTTACATTAGCAACAAAAACAAATGTTTCTGATCATTATTTACCAGGTATCTTAAAGTCTTAGATTAGTCATATTTAATTGTCAAATCATTCAGGCTTAAACA